CACAACTTCATGAACTTCATCCATGTTTTTTTGGGACACTCAATTTAGCTTCTCTTCTTCTTTATGTTCTTCCACAATCGATTCTTCATTGGAATGATATTTCGAAATTTGTTAGACGACAAATCAATTAATAGATTTAACAATGAATAAATTATTCTTTTTGATTTCTTGTATGTTTAGAAATTAAAACGGTTCAAATTTTATAGTTAGATGCATCATTTTTTAACTAAAAAATCAATGTTAATAACTTACCAATATATATTCGTAATATTTATCAAAATGTTAATGCTCAAATAGTGAAAGCATCAAACGAAATTCTTGTTTTATAATCTTTCTAATTGTTAGACTATATAATATGAATATTATAAGCCAAAAAATAGGAAGCTCATTGTCCCCCTCCCCGACCACCATCCTAAAATCCACCAATGTCTTTTTGTAACCTCTTTATACTAAACATTGAAGAGCTAAAGAAATAAAACACAATGATAAAATGAAAAACACAATTCACAAGATACTATACTACACAAAAAGATAAACAAAAAACATTATTATATAGCTAACTGCTAATTTTCTTTAATAATAATACATAAAAATGTATTTTATGAAAATACCAACATCATTACTATATATGTCCCTAAATTTGGAGGCCCCTTAAAATCGGAGGCCCTATACGACCACACCACTCGCACACCCCCAGGGCCGCCACTGGACCCTAACAACCCAATTGTTGAAACCACGACTAAGCCTACAACAATGCAACCAACTGCTTTAGCTGCCTCAACCCTATAACCTTGATAGCTTCGGGTCAAACTGGCCACAACCCACCTTGTTGGGTCCCCACCCATTTGGAACACCAAGACGACCTCCTTCTCAGCCTACTAGGCAAGTAACCCGACAACAAGTAACTCAACGACAATGACGATTAACCTTGGTGGCGATCGAGGCTTCTCCGGAGATGATGGTTCTCTAGCAACAACACAACATTTTTCCATGGATGTTTCTGGATTATTTTTTATTTTAAAATTGGTTTCCTTCATAGATTTTGATCAATGATTCATACATTGATTTTAGGATTGAGTAATGGGTATAGGCAAATGCACTATACTTTTATTTTAGTATTTAATGTGTGTGATATGATTGTCGCCTTGTCGGGGTTATTGTCTTTGATACAAAATAAAGGTAACAATATGAGTAGGGGTGTTAACTGTAACATTTTGGAAACACAGAGGTTCAAAGTAAACATGATGGTTTAACAGAGCTACTGAACTAGGGTTTTGTTTCTCTCTGTCTTCAATTTTTTTGTTCCAGAAAAACACTCCGATAATCGAACAAACATGAGATCTCGCTTCCCTCCTCCTTTGATTTCTACATTTCTTATTCGATCCCATTCAATAAAAGGACCCCTTTCATTGTTTTCTTCAATCTCCGACGATAATCCGATCTCAAAATCCCAATCTTTTGATAAACCCAATCATCCACAGTCACTAAATCTGAAAACCGAAAAACCATTCTCACAAGATCAAGTTTTGACTCAAACCCATGTCACAGAAGTTCTACTTTCTCATAGAAATGACCCAAATCTCGCCCTGACGCATTTTAAATGGGCTACGAGAAAAAGGATTATACGAGATAACGAGATTAGTGACCCGTTTCTTGTTCTTCTCCATATCTTAATCTGTTCAGAAAAACACTATGGAACGGCTAAGAAGTTGATTAGCAAATGTGTTACAGAGCTTTCATTTCCTGGGCCAGGTGAGCTCATTTCCCAATTTGTTTCTACTGCAGAGAGGTTTCAATTTGATTACAATTCAAATTCTAGGGTTATAAATTACTTACTCTGTAGTTTGGTTCGAGCCTCTCGATTGGAAGATGCTGTTATTTGTTTCAGAAAAATGATTGAAAAAAATATCATTCCATGTGTTCCATATGTTCATGTTCTCTTAAATGCAATGGTTAGGAATAATATGTTCACAGAAGCTCGAGTTACATTCAATAATATAGTAAGGATGCAAATTCCATATGATTGTGCTACAATTCGAGTTATGATTCGTGGGAGTTGCCATGAAGGTAAAGTTGAAGAAGCTGCAGAGTATTTTTGGGATGCAAAGGAAAATGGGATTGAACTCGATGCAATAACATATAGTACTGCTATTCATGCTATTTGCAAGAAACCAGACGCCATGTCAGCATGTGCATTGTTGAGTGAGATGAAGGAAATAGGATGGGTTCCTTCTGAGGGAACTTATACTAATGTCATTGTAGCTTGTGTGAAACAGAAGTATATGATAGATGCATTAAGGTTAAAAGATGAAATGGTTGATAATGGTGTTCCTATGAATATAGTAGCTGCCACAAGTTTGATGAAGGGATACTGTGTTAATGGAGATCTTCATAGTGCTTTGAATTTGTTGGAAAAGAGTGTTGAAAATGGTCTTTCTCCAAATAGGATCACCTACTCGATTCTTATTGAAGGGTGTTTCAACAATGGTGATTATGAAAAAGGTTTTGAATTATACAATCGAATGAAAAACGAAGGTATAAAACCAAATGTTTACAATGTCAATTCTTTGATAATAAGGTATTTTGAGGCTGGTTTGATAAAAGAAGCTATTAACCTCTTCGATGAAGCTATTGAAAGTGGTATTGCAAATGTATTCACATACAACAATCTTATTTCATGGTTTTGTAAAGTGGATAAATCGAACGAAGCTTATAATGTGTTTGAAAAGATGATGAAAAATGGAGTTTCTCCAAGTATTGTTACATATAACAACATTATACTCGGTTATTGCAAAAGTGATGACATGGATGTTGCATTGGATGTGTTTAACAAGATGCAAGAAAATGGTTTGAAACCCAATGTTGTAACTTATAGTATTTTAATCGATGGGTATTTTAGGAAAGGCAAAAAGGAGGAAGCTTTGACTATCTTTGACCAAATCTTGGAGTTAGGGTTTCTTCCATCCGACTACACGTTCAATATACTCATTAAAGGTTTATCCAAACTTGGTCAAACATCCGAGGCTTGTTTAATGTTGGAAAAAGTCAAGAAAATGGGGTTCAATCCACATTGTATGACATATAATAGCATTATTGATGGATTTATCAAAGAGGGTAGTCTTAATTCCGCATTGGCTATTTATACTTCAATGCATGAATCCGGTGTTACCCCTAATGTTTTCACATACACATCTTTAATATATGGATTTTGCAAATTCAAGAACATGGATCTTGCTTTGAAAATGAGGAATGAGATGAAAAGCAAAGGACTTGAATTAGATATTGTAACATATGGTGTTTTGATAGATGGATTTTCCAAAAATCGGGACATGGGAAGTGCAAGTGAAATCTTTAATGAGATTCATCAAGTGGGATTATCTCCAAATACAGCGGTTTACAATTCCATGATTAGTGGATTTAGGAATCTTGATAACATAGAACAAGCTCTTGTTTTTCACAAAAAGATGATAAATGAGGGGATTTTATGCGATTTGGCAACTTACACTACATTGATTGATGGATTGCTTAAATCAGGGAGAATAATTTCGGCTTCTGAATTGTATTTAGAGATGCTTGGAAAGAATATAGAGCCAGATGCTATTATGTATACGGTTTTGGTCAACGGTTTATGTAACAAAGGTCAACTAGAAGATGCAAGGAAAATCTTGGAAGAGATGGGTAGGGAGGGTAGGGTTCCTAATGTGGTTATTTATAATTCATTGATTGGAGGGTATTTTAGGGAAGGAAATTTGCAAGAGGCTTTTAAGTTGCATGATGAGATGCTTGATAGAGGTCTTGTACCCGATGATAAAACTTATGATATTCTTGTTATGGGTAAAGTCAAAGAGGGCGAGTCAACTTCTTTCAAGTCAACATGACAGAAATTCTGTGAGCTACTTTTTTTTCTTCTTCTGGTTTTGATTCTATGTTGTACAGTTGTTATGATAGTGGTGATTTTGGTCTACAAGATTCTGTTATATTATCATTTTAAAGGGTATTTTAGGTATTTGAGTAATGATCGGTTGTCTTCTCTTCTTATAGTGTTAACTATAAGAGAGTTGAGTGAAAAGTCGTTCAAAGAAGGTAAAAAAAAAGGAGGGTAATAATGTAATTGTAATTATTGTTTTCCTTAAGTAACCAGCTTGATTGAAGCAGATATGAGACCTGATTATCTGACCCATTAATAATAGGATATTATATTTTGAAAAATAGCCTTAATTATAATATTGTGCAATTTTTTTTAAGTTCAATGCTATATAAAGAAATGAGAGTAGGATGATATATAAACAAATAAATAATAGTATAGCAGTATACTTTAATTTATATGTTTGTTACAGCATCTTTCATTTCTTTCTATTACAACATTTTAATATTTTTTTAGTAAGGCATTATACTTTTAAAAATGTACCCAATTTTAGCATTGTAATTTTAGTTTTTGCTTATTAGTACAAATTTCACTTTGAAAGATCTTCTTAATTAAAATAGTGGAATTTGTTTTGTAGTTGGATGACATTGCAATAATTGATACAAGAAATGAAAGTAGGATGCTATGGTAAACAAATGAATATAAGTACATTGTTATTTCTTGCATTTAACCCAAAGTAACATGATGACCATTATACTAAATCACTTCATACACCAGAAACTGATTACACGATTTCAAATGTAACAAATGTTTTTTTTGCAAGAGTCAAATGAAAGTACATTGCTATATCTTACATTTAACCCTAAATAACAAGAGAATAGTATCGGAATCACTTTATGCACTTGAATATACTTATGTGATCAAGCATGAAAATGATGTTTTTTTACAAGAGATCCCATGCTACGATAAACAACCAAATGAAAGTACATTGTTATTACTTGCATTAATCCCCCCAAATAACAACATAAACATACCAAAATCACTTTATACATTCGAAACTGATTATCGATTTCACGTGTGACAATGATGTTTTTGCAAGAACTCATAAACTCGAAAATCTATCTAATCTTCACATCTATTCAACCGAAATCATACCACTCTTACTTGGGGTTTCAATATCATTATAATAACTTGAGTATTTTCCAACCATCTCTCCTTTCTCCCAAATAGCATAAGCTTCTTCTCCATGAACTGCCTCATCTCCAACTTCCATGTCCTCATAAGACATCCTTAAAGGCACAATTAATCTCACGAATAAACACACTAAACTTGTCATCACAATATTAAGCACAACCACAAACAAAATCCCAAGCAATTGAATCCTCATTTGTCGAAATCCTAAACGGATGCTCTGTGATGTCCCGAGGTGCAATCCATAAAAGAATCCCATGTATTTACTTGTACTTCCATAGAAAAGTTTGCACAAATGAGGCTCGGAGAAGAGTCCGGTGAGAATGCCGCCCAAGATTCCGGCGATGGCGTGTGTGTGCAGCATCGCCATTGTGTCGTCCACCTTTTGGAGCAGTTTGATCTTTTTCTGCAATACCATCATTGTGAACCATGGGATTGAGCCTGAGAAAATTCCCATAACAATTGCGGCGTATCCTTGCACTAACCCTGTAAATATAAAGATTTTAGAAATTGTCATGGGGTTGTACCATAGCACACACATGATAAATTTTAGGTCTTTTTGTTATATACGAGGACACAATATAAAATACAACATAACAAGTTTTAGTGTGTTTGTTATACATTGAACTAGTACAAGACGGATGTCAATGGGATAAAAAAACATATTTTCCCCCTAAAATTGTGTGATAGACTTGTTTGATCTGTGCAAAAGACCGTGATTTTTTTTAATTGCAGATCGAAAATAGCCCTAAAGGGGCTTGTTGATAAATTTTCATCTGGTTCATTATTATCTAGTCATGTCCCGTGTAACAAATAAAGTCTTATATAGTGTTTGTGCGAGAGAATAGGAGTGTAATGACAAAATAATAATAATAATAATAATAATAATAATAATAATAAAATAATTAAACTTGTTTTGTCTAAGGAAAAGAAATTGACCGTTTTTAATTTTCGATTGTTAAATAAGTTTTTTTTTTTATTTTATTTTTTATTTTATTTTTTAAATTCCATTATGGAATTCAATAAAAATTTATAATGTGATCCATTTATATCTGTAATTTTTTGTTAATAAAAAGTATTTTTCTAGACATTCATTACTTATTTTCATAAGAGAGCTAGATTTTTTTTTAAAAAAATTTCATTATGGAATGTAATAAAAATTTATAATGTGATCCATTTATATCTGTAATTTTTTTTAATAAAAAGTATTTTTCTGACAGTCATTACCTATTTTCATAAGAGAGCTAGATCTTTTTTTAAAAATTTTTAATTTTCATTTGGATTTTAACTACCTTTTATCACACATTAAGTCTCACATTAAATCTCTTGGTTTGTAAATAATAAATTCTATAGTTATAATTAAGTAATATATAGAACAGTATTAAGACTATGTCGGTTAATATACATAAATGAATAACAAACTATTTTGATGTATTCCACAAAATATCATTATCCAAAAAAACATAGTATCAAAAGCCAAACATATGAAACTTTTTCCCCGACAAAATATTGTTGTCTTGATGATATTTAATGAACAAAACAATTAGTTCATACATATTGATGATACGTTTTTAAACAACGATGTTTTTATTCAAAACAAGTGCAACCCATTTATGATATCCAAATTTCAAATGAAAACTCCTTCATTTCCTACAAGCTAACAATATAACGATTCATTTTATTAGGCTCTTTATTCAACTACTTTGTCCATTCTATTTTATCCAACAAAAAATATATCTATATCTACTTTTCTTTGGAGGGAGGAGAGGGGGTTATAAATTATAAATACCTGCTCCAGGTGTTATGCAAACCAGACCCGTAATCATGCCTTGAACTGCACCAAAAATGGAGGGTTTCTTGAAGAAAATGATATCGAGGATGAGCCACGTGAGGAGGCTTGTAGCAGCACATACATGAGTGTTCAAAACAGCTAAAGAAGCATCCATGCTTGCGACATATGGGGCTCCACCATTAAACCCGGTCCAACCCATCCATAATAAACCCGCACCGGCTAACATGAGTATCATGTTGTTGGGACGAAAACTTTCCCTATCCGCAGTCAACCTAGGACCAACCTGTATGTACAAAATGTTAAATTAATTCCAATAATAGAAAGATGCTTAATTAGACTAGTCTAACTTGGTCTTACATGGTCTAGTTTTTTGAACAAACAAAACCATTCCTTTTTATTGGTTTAGTTTGCTCCTAATGTCCTATGTTTATTTTTTATCCTGCCGGATTTTTCTTGACAAAAAATAAATTTTAATAGTTTCTAAAGAACACTTTTAATATAAAATTCAATAATTACTATGCAATGAATATTAAAAAAAAACTATAGTACTATTTTATATAATTTTCAATTACAATCAGGAGCGGACGTAGGGGTTACCAGGGTGGCCCGTAAAACACTCAAATTTTACGACACAATGTTTTATTTTTGAGAAATTTTCCAGTGTAATGTAAATTTTCCAGTATGCCACCTCTAAAATCTTATGTACTAACTTGAGATTTTGTCATGCCTCCGCTACCGACTATAACGTATAAAAATAATTTTAAACATCCACTATAAGAAAACTTTATAATTAAATTTTTATTTCTCATATCAAAGAAAACACATACATATCTATATTATAGTAGGGTATGTTTAAAAATTTTCTTTCTAGAAAACTTATCTATTATATTTTTAATAAAAGTATCATTCTAAAAAGGATATCTGTCCTATATATTGCGATTTTAACACCGATATAAATTCTATCACCGGATTCAATCCAATTTAGGATGGATCTTAGTTTATTCACATAGTAGTTTTAGTTTTAAACTTCTTTTTGGTTTGTTTAATGTTTAAACAGTTTTTAGCTGTTTTCAGACCGAAACAAGTTTCGGTTTGAAATCTCTTTTGTATTAATTTAAGAAAAATTAAATATTATTTTATCATTTTATCTTTTGTTCCGGATACTCTTTCTATCAAATAGATAACTAGGATTATTGTTTTATAAGAGCTAGAAGATAAATAGAAAAAAAAAAAAAAAAAAGTTTTTAATTTTTAACAACGGTTGTAGTTTTGGACTCTTTTCACATCTCTTACCAAAAGTACAAGGAATTACCCAATAAGCAGCGGTGTAACCTGCAACTCCAGAAGACACATGGATAACATAACCACCTGCATAATCAATGATTCCCATTTTACTCAGCCAACCTTCCGGAGACCATATAGTAAACGCACCAAAAGTATACGAAAAAGTCAACCATAAAGGAACAAACAACATCCATGCATAAAAATTCATCCTTCCCAAAACTGCCCCCGCAATCAGAATCAAAGTGATCGCTGCAAACACAAACTGGAAAAACACCATAGTCGCATTCGGAAACATTCCTAAATAAGCTTGTTCGAGAAGATACTTCTGTTCAAGGGCAATATAAGCTTTTCCCCATACAGGAACAAGTTTATCACCAAAAGAAAGCCTGTATCCCCAACATACCCAACAAATGAGAACCATTGCAAAGGCATATAACGCCATGAAAGCAGAATTCACTGCCCATTTCTTCTTCACAGCGCCGCCGTACAAGATTATAAGACCTGGGACACTTTGCATGCCGACTAACGTCGCCGCCACTAGCTGCCATGCATTGTCGGCTTTGTTCATCCATTCTGGGCTTGCTTCGTCGGGTAACAAGTTTGGAGGGAATGAAAAGGGCTGTGTTAGATTGAAGAGCGGCGGAGATGGTGGTGAGAATGAGAAACTCATGATCTTTTTGAACGTAAATGGAGAAGTGAAAATGGTGTCATTTATTGCGAGTTTCACCGGCCATGTTAGTGGTAGTGATGTCGATGATTTCAAGGTACAAGTCGTTATTGAAGTTATAATATTATAATCGATTATCGAATGATGATATTGGTATTGATGTTGCTACTTCCATTTGGCGTTTCTGGTGAATTTGGTGAACAATTAGAATGGACAAAAACGAAGCTATTCGGTAAAGATCAAGATAGATCCAACCGGTTAGAATGCATAATGTAAAACAAGAATTGTCGTTATGAAAGTATTTATGAATAATGAATCATCAACAATGAATCAGTCATTATTGAATAGTTTATGCGAAGAACCATGAAATGTTGACAGAAAGTATAATCTAATTGCAAAGATCTTAACATGGAAGACAAAGTAAAGGTTTAAAAAGTAGAAGCCAATAGGACAAAATGATGGAATTAGTGACGAGGGAGAATCTTGTATTATTATCAAGAGCGATGCTATACTTCAAGTGTCTACCCTTTCAAGAAAATTTATTTAATATATATATATATATATATATATATATATATATATATATATATATATATATATATATATATATATATATATATATATATATATATATATATATATATATATATCTTATAATATTTCTTTTCCGGCAGCCTTGGTTTACCTTTTATAAATGATCATGTGGTTTTCTTTTAATAAAATGAGGTAGAAATAATAGTGGGTGATTGTGTTAGGCGTTTCAAAAAAACGATGTTTAATTTCTTCAATAACATGTGACTCAATGAAGGAAGCATAATCTTTGTTACGAGGTTAGTTTTCACGGTGATGTTTTCTTGATTTGCAATGGAAGCATAATCTTTGTTACGTGAGAATGATTTTTTGTATATTATTCATTTCTTGTCATTTGTTTTAGTTTTGTATGAATGATTTTTCAATAAAGAATTGATTGTCCATGATGTCTTGCACCTACCTCCAATCATCACATCCACAATGTTGAACATCATACATGTTAAAATATTTCATTAATTTGAAAGTTGAAATGGAATAAGAATATGAACCCTTAATCTGTCCATTGATAACCAAATGTTGTATAGTAGTGATCACATTGTTTGAAACACTCCAAGATAGAGTTGACCCAAGTTCTAATCCAACAATGTGACATTTAGTTCAAGGGGGGAAATAACCAATTGTAGTTATAGAAAAGAAGTGAACGGTCAAAAACTTAAGCAAACAACATATTTATCTTGATTTGATGACATGGGCATTACACACCATTGCCAGATCGATCGGATTTGCCACCACATTTAATAAAAACCAAAAATAAATGATTACAAAATATTTAGACACAACTATATATAATAAAAGTATACAAGAGGCCAATCTGTAGGCAAAAAAAAGTTGTGGCTATAGCTAAGGCCATGATATATAGGGATATGTATAGGAGATTTGACACAAAAGAAGGGGAACATGAAATTTAGAAGCTAGCTAAAGATAAAGAAAGAAGGAAAACGGATTTAGGGGATTATTAGGTATAATAACGACCACACAGGACCAGTTCTTGTGAAAGGTGAGGAAATTTAGTGGAAAAAGGGTAGTTATTTTCATTCTATATATAATGACAATTCTTTCATGGAGACAAGATGGAGTGTAGGTGTGTTTGCGTTTGGGGAGGCTACAAACTAGCAATGAGGATTTCTACTCGAAGATAAGTAACGAGGAAGTTAAGATGGCTATGAGGAAGATGGGGAGGAACATAGTTCAGATAAAATCTTTATTATTGCATGTCAATGTCTTGAGAGAGGGGTGGGGGGGGGGGGGGGGGTTAAATGGTTGACAAACTTAATTAACGTAATCCTTAAGAGGACCAAGATGCAAGAGAGTGGAGATAAAGTACTATGACCTCAATTTATTAGAACAAAGGTGATACCCAAACCCATGGGAACTATAGAGGTATTAAGTGACTTAGTCACACCATAAAACTATGAGAGAGAGAGAGAGAGTATTAGGGGATAAGTTATATAATGTAACACCTGTTTTTCATAACATAATATATTAATCTGTAAGAATGGGTAGGAGATAGTGGAAGAAAGTGATAGTTTACTAGGAGACAATTATGTGGATAACAATGATAGTCTCCACCAATATATGAGCTCCTCGATACAATTGTTACGAGTTCAACTTAACGGCTATGTTTAAGAATATTCCAGCACTGCTGATTGTCCATTCTCAACGTCTGTAACGCTTGTTTTCCAGAAATGATCAGTTGGTGACCTAAAGAAGCTAAAAGTATGATTTTTGAGGAAAATTGTATGCCACGATGTAGCATGACATCTGATGGGCAAAAGATATACCTACCAGTATTAAATTTATAACCTAACCTCACTTAACTACTAATATATTTATAGGCAGTGTACCTAGTCAGTTTATAATATAGTAAACTAAGTTGGGTACCGAACACTGGGAACAAAATTTAGCTAATAAAACAACTACCAAAAGTTAATCTAAAAACAATAACGAAATTGGAGGGTTTTATATGATCTTTCACATTTAGATTAACTTAACTACTTAATTAACTCAAAAACTAAGCAAAAAATTAAATAAGATGATTGTTATCAAGATAATGAAGATACTTCCATTTATCTTTGAATCCCTTTTTTCCTATGGTTAGTTTCAACACAAGTATTTATCTAGTTGGTTACCAATATAATTATTATTAAGAATATTAATCCGATCTCCTAATGTTTTCACAAATTCATGAACTACTATGTAATGATCATACACAAGTAAACACATAATCGATTATTTGAGATTATTGGGCTATGTAAGATTTATCTACGATAACTATCTATGATCAAGACTAATTACCAAAACACTAATTATTATCCTATTATTTTCTCTAACACAGTTAAAGTTGTTACCTTTATTACTTAATCTAAGATCTGATTAATCCTAGCTCTAACAATTTAATTACCATAAACTACTAGGTAAACAAGTTCATGCAATTAAATTGATCATTCAACTATACTTAACTTGAATCTAAGTAACAAAGATTAAAACTTTAGCATGCTAGGTATTGATAATCAAACACAAGCTAAAACCAACTTCATAAAATTCATGAAAGCTAGAAACTAACACATAGTGTTAGAGTTCATCTACACTAAATGAAAGTGTAATGATTTAGCTACTCATTGCGAAAAGTAAACACATAAATGCAATAGAATTCAAGCTAGATGTGATTAATCTAAATCAAACCGAATGTGATGTGTGAATGCTTTCAACAATCTTCAAAACTCTTAGACTTCAATCTTCTTCTCTTCCCAATGGTTATTTTTTGCAACTTTTTATCCAAAAAATCGACTAAAAATCTCAGAACATGTCTCCAATCCTTTTCAAGTCGATCTATCAAAGGATTTATATATATATATATATATATATATATATATATATATATATATATATATATATATATATATAGTTACTTATAACGCTCCTCACGTTGTGAGATCAGTAGAAATCTGTAACCAACAAGGAGACTTGTACTCTGTGTAGTAATCTCCTGGAATATTCATTCTCATGATGTGAATTGTAACAACTCAAATTTTCAAACAATTTTTTTCTCATTTTTAAATTCTCAAAACATAGTTCTTAGCATTGACCCATGCCAAAATATAAGTGTCAAGTACAAAATATCATGAAACAGGTCAAATCTCCCAGAATCCACATAAACTCTAAACATCAAGTTGGTGCGTACATTCATGTTGGTGCCTTCCCGCGATCCTATGATGTACATGAAACACATTTAATCAGCACTGTAAGCACAAAGCTTAGTGAGTTCCCCAAAATACCATATACATAAATATTTAGCCTCTCGTGGCTAAATCTTGATAAGGACCCTCGGGTCATGTGTCTCAATGAAGACCCTCCAATCTCACGTCTCAGTATAGACCCTCCGGTCACGGCTCAATGGATACACAGAATAACATAATATCATAAGTTACAAAGACAAATTGCATAATAATACATAAACAGATAAGACCCTCCAGTCAGTAATGCAATTAAGACCCTCCGGTCCATAACATGAATAAGACTCTCCGGTCACACCAAAGTTACCACACATGTAAGTATAGTGAGAAAACTTACCTCTCGCTGGAAAGCAATCAATCTCGCACCCGAACTGCCAGTCTAGACTCCGCCTAATTATATCACATTCATCTTTAATTAATAAATAATACTAATAACCCTAAAATGCTAGGCCGAGTCTCTCTACAAAATCCCAGGAGGGTGAAAAGACAATTTTGCCCCTCCTTGACCAAAACTCCACAAAATGGCCAAAAGCTCAAAAGTCAACGAAAGTCAACACCCAGCGAGTACGCTGGGTGTACAACCAACAATGCATGCATCGGGGGGTCTCAACACTACGTTGCGCATAACTGGGAGTACACACGACATACATCTCATATTTCCACTCCTCACTTCGTGTCACAACCCCAAACCAGAACGGCGGAATCGTTCGAGGGTGGATGACTTCATGTAGTATCGTAACAGTTGAATACATAGTAAAGAAAGTAAACACAACCATAATATATATATATATATATATATATAATTTAAGAGTTACATTGGTGAATGATACTTGTTTCAAAAACAAATTACAATATGATGACAAAATGAGTTTAAAACTGATGCCATAACATCACTTCTCTAAAAGCTGAAGTTTACCTGTATTACTGAATCCCTGAGAAATACAAGTAGATTTGAAAGAGTAGATCAGCATTTAAGCTTGTGAGTTCATAAGATTTAGTGTCAATGTTTGTATAAATTTGAATGAATTTGTTTGTAGATGTTTGAAAACTCCTAGAAAATCCCATATTTCCTACTAGTATAAAAGTAGTCTTCTACTAAGACCCGACTATTTCGAATGTTGTTTCTAAAATTCCAATATTTTTCCATGAGTGTAGGGTAGTTAAAAAGTTCCAAAAACT